TTTGATTCAGGACCGACGGAAGAGAAAATAGTTTATTTTCCACCGTAAGAAATCTCCGTTTACTGGCCTTATCTGAACACTGGTTTGTGGACGGAACTTTCAGAACAGTGCCTCATTTGTTTCACCAACTCTACGCACTCCATGGTATTCAGGTGAAGAGTTCAATTCCACTTTTGTATGTTCTACTATCAGACAAGACAGAGGCAAAATATATTGGGTTATTGCAACAAGTAAAACAGGTTCGACCTGATGCCTTCAAATAAACAGGTGAGGCCGAATTCGAACCTGCCGAAGTCAGTGCTATTCGTCAAGAATTTCCAAGGGGTACACCGAGAGGACGTTTCTTCCATTTCTCGCAGTGTATATTCCAAGGATTCAGGCAGAAAATCTTCAAAGAAGGTTCGAAACTGACATTGAATTTCCTATGAGAATACGACTGTTGTCTGCGTTGGTCTTTTCCAAATAGAAGATGTGGTAAAAGTATTTTAGCTTATTAGCGGTAGCGATGATAACATGTCTGAAGAAGCACAACGCTTGATTGATTTCCTTGAGGACTGCTGGACTGGACGTGCTTAACGATGCATGGGACACCGAATGCCCTGCTTCTCCCTGGAAATGTGAAACTGTTACGAAGGAGTAAGACACCGTCTTCCGAAGACAAGTAATGCAATTGAAGGGTAGCATCGTGGATTCGAAATACAAATATCTGTACAACGCCTTAATATCTGGAAGTTTATTGAAGCGATTCAGCGTAAGCAGAGCATCAGAACACTGCAAATTGAACAATATTTGAGTGGTCATTAAGGTGGCCCTGTGCGTAAGAAATATGGGGATTGCGCTGAGACTTTTCAGAGTAGTTACGAATTATGACAGAAGTAATGTTTTGGAATTTTTGAGAGGTGTGGCACATAATATACATTACTAATTAGGCATTGCGTGTAAATAACGTTTCAGAAGTTTTCTTTCAATTAAATTATTCCAATGAAATCTGTTTTATTCGAAGTTTAGAGGTACATACATTTTCATTTTCAAGCAAATTAATTCAGAATCAGCAGATTTCAGTTTTATAGAAATATTGACAATACTTTATGGTATGAAATAAATTAAGTTTTTAATATCGGCGATCAGTTGTAGACTCGGTGAATTTTCCGTTCGACGATATACTGGTCGGTGAATTTTCCGTTCGGTGAATTTTCTGTCGCTGAATTGCAGTCGGTGAACTTTCGTAGATCGCACTTATTCCACTACTTTTTTGATGACGGATTACGAGCAACGGGCTGCGTTAAAATAGCAGTTCCAATGAAGTTAGACAGATGTCAAAAGCATGAAAATGTGCAACTACAAGTTATCAAATTGCGACATCAAGAGTGACGAGGTCAAACGTTTTATTAGTACATGATAGTATTAAGAAATTATCTGTTTATCAGTGCATATTTCGCTTCCATTGTATAGTTACCAACAAACATGCCTATCTGGCGATCATCCTTAACTAATTACATAGTTGTAGTTACATTCGTTATGCCATAATATGAACTATGAACCTTTTAACCTTTCTGCTCTCGAAATCGCAAATATAATTTTTAGTTTGCTTTCAAATACCTTCTCAACATGTTAACCTCCATTTAACTTTTCAGTCTACTGAAGTAAATACTCTATGCAAAAGCATGCTCTCATGTACATGTTTACACTGTCATTCCCTACAGACATCCGGTTCTTGGGGGGTCGTCAGCAAGACGAGAATCTGATGTCTAAAACTTTTTCATGCAGATCTTCTCTGTCCTCCTTTTCGATCTTTTCTTCTCGTATGATACTTGTAAAGCTTGCCCTACTGCTCTGATTGCTTATTGATGCTTTTGCTTGATCATAGATCTAACGCGCTTATTCTGTCGCCTACCCACAGCTTTTTAACCGTTTTCACAAAGCTAGGCATAATGTGCAACGTGCCTAAAACCTGTCGTTTAAATTACATATGATCCTAACGCCCCAACAATGATTGTGCTCAGTTTTTTGTAACTCTGTTCTTGAAGTGCCAGCTGGAGGTGTTTATAATGTGCGATTTTAGGTGTGGTTGCTGTCTCAAATGCGCTATGCCAATTCTCAAAGGGAATAGCAATGTTTACCATGGCGCAGTCTTAAAACTGTTGTTCAAGACCACGATATATGGGCGTTGTGTGGAATGTAGCCTCTCCTGTCGTAATATAGCCGCGATTCTGGTATCATCTAATGCTCGACATCAAAATGGGAGTGGCGGCACTTAGTGTGACCCATCCTGTAAATCACCCGTCACCTTGAGTAATAAGACTTGCGGTTTCTGTGCCGGAATCATAATGGTTTAAATAAGTTACGATGAAAAACATTTACTCAAATTCAATCAATTTTCATGATCGTGAATTTAATGTAAAACTTTAAATGCCCTGCAGGTTTCTCAGGGAAACGTCTATTATTTTTTTGGCAAAGTCTACTGATGTTTACACAAGTCACTGTGGATATTCTTGAATTTTTGCAAGATTTAAACAGAGGCATACTGACTCAGCGAATTGTGGTTGTCGTTCTTCCATTTTTGTCCCAGTCGTCCGTCAGTTTCAGAGGGTACAGTGAGCTATGGTTGTCAACGTGCTTGAAGCGCTTACGATGAATATTGATGATGCAGTCAGTCCCTTGTCTAAATGTTAATCAATTGAGGGCAGAATAGAGTAAGTTAACAGAATTCTGTGTAGCACCAAGATTGTGTTACGTCCTGAAGACGAACTGGGGATAGTTCGAAATTTATGAATTTACGCGAAGGAATTATGGTGAATTTCATCCAGTACGTCTGTTTAATTTTCTTGTCTTTTAATCCATGCATTTATTGTGACAATATTGCTCGATGAACATCTGCTTGCGTTTAGGCTACTGAAATGGATAAACGACAATGCGGCGGCGCAGACTCAGCACGTCAGCGTCGAGACCAGCTATCATCAGAGCGACGGAGGCAAAGTGTCAACCCGTTTCACTTTCATGCCAAGTCCCGGCGATCACTACATCAAGTAGGCGGTCGAAGTTCGAGTTGACTTTCATTCATCACGTCCGTGTTGCCCAGGTACAACGGAAGGTGGCTGAAAATCGAACGCAACAGAGAAAAGCAGATGGTCAGCTTGCAGCACGGCACACCGTACGAAACTGTCACTCTAACAACCCTCGGCAGAAGCGCGTTGTTCTATAGCCAGATATTAGAAGAAGGTATCAGTGACATTTGCAAATCACTACTGAGTTTTATTTTATTGTTTTGATGTATTGTTTACATCTGCTGCTGACTTTTAGTCAGCTGCCAAGTTAATCGCTCCGAATTTCGGCTGCACAGTAACGTGTCTGGCAGCGTGGTCGTAAGTCTCGCACCATGTGGTGTGAACATGGCAAAACGGAGTATTGTTCCTAACGTTTGCAAGTGAGCCATGTCCGTGACTAGCCGCTAGTTTCTCGGCTGGTTGTGATGAAGCATTGGAGTGGATTCCTCATAGGAATTGTCAGTAAATAAGAAAGTTTTCATAATCGCGTTCCTCTGAACTGTAAAGGAAGCTACTTATCAACGACAGCACTCTCTCTTTGAATTATAGGGTGAATCAATGCCTAACGAACCGCCACTGGTACTGCATAACTTCATCTTACACCTTGTTCTAATTTTTAGTCAGCTATCAGGTGAGTGAATGGGAATTGCAGCAGTAAAGCGCACATGTCAAGCAGCAACGCCTTACGTATCACATGCTTTGGCATTGCCACACGAAAACACCATGCTGTCCCTATTATTCTTAACCGAATGATTTGCTGCCTGATTTTCGGGATTTTGAGATGAATTGCTTGCTCAGGGGAATCAGCATTCAGTGGGAGAAAATTTACGCCGCGCGTTGCACTTGAACTCGCACTCCACCGTGCAAAGCCTTCTAACTGACGACGCTACTGATGTCGCCATGAGGAATATTACTTAATTATGCAACGCTTGTATAAAAAATCTGTTCGCATTGTCTTGCGCTATGACGCCTATAGTTAGATATTCATAGCTAATCGAAATAATTCACAAACCGATGCCGACTTTCACTTTTGACTATGAGGATTATGAATACGCGTCGTTTGTCTAGATTTTCGTTGCTATTTTTTCTACGGACGAATAGGGCCTATCATCGAGATAACGGCTCCACAGTAGCACAGAACCTGCAGCGTACTGGTGCAAAATTGCGTTGTGTTGTTCATTGGAACACGAAATATGTTCATAGCAGCAATATACATACCTTCAACTACAGTCAGCCAGTCGTCCAGTTTCGCTAGCCGGATGTCCTTTCGGGTCGCGGAGGCAGCAGCATCAGACAGTGTCTCCAGCGTTTCCGATGCTGTACCAGGGACTCAGCTTCAGAAGGAAACGAGTCTAGATTAGAGTCCATCAAGCCACTTGCCCCAGGTCATTCTGGATCTTCTCAGGGTCGTTGGCAGGTCTGTCCAGAAATTAGTATCAGTTTCGCCTTGCTTTCTGAAAGCATTCGTATTATATACCCAAGCCATCGCAGTTGTGGTCCAATCTGGAGAATGGCAAACCGATGCATTCTCGAATGTCTGAGCTCCTGACCAGTTATATCGAGACGCGTGAACCTAGCGCTTCGTCTCAGAAAACTCATTTCAATCCTTTGTGCATAGATTGCAGTTCTTCAGTGTTGCTTCACATTCAAAAACATGGGTTAGCACAGGGATGAAAATCAGATTGAACACAGGCAGCTTAGTGTTGAGATTCAGCTCTGTTTTAGTCACAGCGGTTCGAGCTAATTCACTCAGAACGCCGCTCGCTATTCCAGTCCGCCGGTCGATCTCCTATTTTCCGTTATCAGTAAACAAGACCCCAAGATACTTCAACTGTTACACCTGCTCCACTGCTTCTGCGTTTATCTGCAGAAAGCGATGGGCAGGAGAACAACAAAGCACTAGCCTGCTCCTTTTAGATACGTTCACACGCATGACAGCTGCGTAGAATTTGCTTGTGAACCTTTCCAGACAGCATTGAAGATCAGCTTTAGAAGATGTCAATAAAATAAGGTCGCTTGCAAACAGCAACCTTCTCGTCTCGACATCTCCTACACCGATACACTCATTGCCCAGACTCTGTCTGACTATTCTATCCATGTACAACAGAAATAGGAGAGGGGCAGAACGCTGTCTGCACGAGAAGAGTGCTAACGCTGAAAGGTCTCAGCTTAGCGGCATTTCCTGTAACACAGCACCTGCTATCGACATATAGTAGAAACAGGCCATCGATTCCATATTTATGCAGGTACGCTCATTGCTTGTTAGGCAAAGTCCGATCAGAGGCTTTCTCCAAATCTATAATGCGCACATCAACCAGATATGTGATTTCCCACGATTTGTCAGCAATTTTGCATGGGGCAGAGACGTTTGCACTGCAGGTAGTGCTTCATCTTCAAGACAGAAAGCGATAGACTACGAATGGAGTAGTGACCAGCAAATCCCCCTTGAACAAACCGTTTGGCTGTGTAAATGGATGAGTCGTTTAGCAGTATACTGTGAAGTGTAGATATTTTCAAAATATTAAGCTACACAAGGTTTGTCAGGCTTAGGGAAAGTAAAGGTTCGTGATAATATCTGTTAAATGGGATGGATTTGCAAAGATGCTAAATGTCCGTAGAAGCTTCTGACGGAAACGAATGCAGTTCGTCGAATAATCGTTCCGCTACGACGGTACTACAGTTTTGCAATACATAGAGGTTGCCAGTTAGGATCGATTTGTGCAGTAGTAAAAGTTTACGGCGATTACGAAGAATGAGCATTCAACTCTTTCCGGCTGAAAAAACGCAGCGATTGGCTTTGAACACAACTCGTCGCGGTGATTGTCACCGAGCATCCTCCTTGAAACTTCCCGCGTATCCGACGATGTGTTCCCATGCATGCATACATTGACACAGAGAAGACCAATCAATACATACGTGTATACATACAAGCATGCATGCATAGAAGTGGAAGGTGCGAAGCAGTTGCAACTGCATAGACTTTAGAGAGTTTTTTGAAGCCGTGACTCCTGGAACAGCAGATATAATGCATTTGTTTTTCAATCTCATTCCTATTCTGTAGGTTCAGGTTAGAGGACGTGTGGGTGAAAAAAACCTCCGACTGCTGCTTTTTCACGACAAAGCTGTCATCTTTCCAGTCGAACTTGGTTGAGGCAGAAACCCGAAGAATCCCCACTGATACCAGGCGTTTGAATCTATTAAAATTTGACGAGCTAGAGGTGAAGGTTTCACCCACCTTGAGCGCATAGTCTCTGTCGATCATATTTAGAGAAGGAAGTCGATTTTCTTCAGGCAGTCGACGAGCGGTCATGAGCACAACAAACCACTGACAACTTTTTTGTAAAAGATACGGGGCAATATAACAGTGATGTAATTTTATGCACAAAAAGGACTTAAGTCAGAAAATTCATTGCCGGAGAGGAAGAATTCGCACATGCAACTGACTCTCAAGAGGAACGTTCAGATTTCAAGTATACGGACACGTAATCCACCGTTGCGAACGAGCGAATCGGATCAGTTGCGATGAAATGAGCAGCAACTGCCAAATCTAGCGAACTTCGTTCTTAATTTATATTGATAGCACTAAAAGGTGAAAAAGTTCCGTAGTGGAAGGTGCGTTGCTTACTTACATTGGTGTCGAATCCAAAGTAAATACTATTTCGCAAACAATGCAGACGTTTTTTGGAGGCAGATTCATCTTTTCGTTCTACAGTTGACAGCATAAAAGACGAAATAATTTTTTTGCGCATCTCACGTTTCGACATAATTATCATCTGTTATTATCAAGGAATCAGGTGTTAGTATGAGTTTAGAAAGTTATTTTGAATTATTCAAGGTGTTTATTTTTCTGCGATATAATTGTATTTGTACTGTTGCTATCATCGGAAATTAATAAGGATTAAGTGCCAGTGTACTCAACGAAGTCTCATAAAACTAAGAAACTCTTCGATTCAATGGCTTTAAATATCAGTCGGTTCAAAGTTGAAAGAACTTATTCAGAAGACAGAAGGCATTTCCTTAAAGACTTCTGAATAACGTTATTTGACATTTGTCAATGGCAATTCCTTCGACCTATAGCCAGTGAACTGGAAGACTTCATTTCTTTATTCGTGCTTAAGAGAATGAGATTCTTATTCCTATTAGCATAGTGTTATTATTCAAATTTATGTCTCTATTGATAATGATAAGGGTAACATCGTCAATGAATATGATATATAAACTATGGAAGCTACAAAATTCGCTAGGTTTCAGTTATATTCTCTATGGGCAGATGAAGTTAAATCCTAAAAAATGGTTTCCTTCAACATTACATAAATGTTTCGCTTGAGTAATTAATTTTGTAGCGCGGAAACAGGCCATCAAGCAGTTACAAAGTGGCACCGTTGTGTTCGCCGCAGCCGGTGCCGAATGGCGTCAGTTTGGCCATCCGCGGCGTAAGAGACCACTTGACTCAGTTATACTGGACAGGGACGTAAAGGAACGCTTGGTGGCGGATGTTCAAGAATTCATTCGCAGTTCGCGTTGGTACGTCGACAGAGGTAGTAACGTGGTGATTGCGGAAGAGGTAGAGACTTCTAAAGCATGCATTCCTAGGCATTCCGTATCGACGTGGTTATCTGCTGTACGGTCCACCGGGATGTGGCAAAAGCAGCTTCATGTAATCTGTGTTAATCTTTCCATAATCGGTCTCTTCCGATCTTGACAGATATGTTTAGAATGGCATTAGCAAGCGAGCTTGAGTTCAGTATTTGCATGCTGAGCCTTAGCGAACGCACGCTGACCGACGACCGTCTCCAGTACCTGTTGAACATTGCCCCGCTGCAGAGCATTATCTTGCTGGAGGACGTTGACGCCGCGTTCATCGCCAGGGAGGATCAATCGGACCGTACGTAGGCGTGGCTCTATTAGTTGGATTGGTCATCACTTCATTTATAGTGCTTCTCTGATTCCAGCACCTGGAACTGAGAGATCTATTATTATTCAAACGTTTTGTCAGATTGGAACGAACCTTCGCTTTGCATGCAGGTCTGTTTCGAACTCCAGAGGTGCCGAGTTCGAGTCCGCTGAAGGCCAGTCCTTGTCTTATTGACGAATTCACTTGAGCATAGAATTGAGTATAGAACCACAGATCGGGGTTGTTTAGTCAGTAGAGTTTCGAACACGAAACTGATCAATCCCAAGTTAAAACCCCGGTCAAATTCACTCGCTCTTCCTCCTTCCGAGTTTGATAAATGAGTACCACTCTGTGGGAAGGAATCAGAAGACAGAAGACTACACACTACGCTTGCCACATGGATGCAGACACTGCTTTTTATATAAGACACTCCTGAATGGCACAGAAACGTAGATCATCACCACACCAATAACTTAAAGAAGGGCGCCAAAATGACCCAATGATGAAAGTGAAGGAAGTCCGACATTCCAGCTTTCCTTGCTTCAGTATTCCCTTTTTATGTGCGACTGCGCCTTGTACTGATTCATTCAGCTATCAAAATGGTCAAGTCAATCTGCAACCATAATCGACAGCTTGCTCTAACGTGACTACACTAGCGCACTTCTTTTTTGTTATTGTTTTCAGGTCAGCGATTTTTTATCCATTTTTAGAAAGGTTGTACCGAAGCACAGTGAGGAGAATATCCTGCGCAGCGGATTTAGGAGTTATTATAATCGGCGCTTCGATTAGCCTCGCACCTTTAACGTAGAAAGCCAGCTTCCCATCTACTGTGCTACTGTCCCGTCGTGTCAGTTTATGTTTTATCTCACGCCTTCAGCACTGCAAAGGTTTCAGGCAACATATGGAACAACGAAATTCTTTTACAAATTTTGTCACAGACAGCACAAGTGAGATTCACTCAAGAAGCGGCCGTTACTATATCCACCAGATAGCGCTGTGTATCTTCTGTCATTTGCGGATCAGTTCTGAGACAACATTCGTAGCAGTTTCTTAGAGAGTCAGGAACCTTTACTTTGATTTTTATGACCAGGATCTTGTATTGTTCTTTTCAAGCTTTACGCCCTAAGTGGATGGCCCATATATAGATCTGATGACGTAGCAAGCTGATTGTCAGGTACGAATGAATGGCAGAACTTTTAAAAGGTAACTGATGTATGTCTTCCAATGTAAGTGTGCAGGAGTTTTATGCACTGTTGTGTAAATTGAATTTCTGAAACCTTTATTATTTAGCCACATGGTTTTCTTTTATGGTTCTGAGATACAGTCCCACATCTCGCTATCCATAATGTTAGGATAGTCTAGACTTTATGGTTGCGAAACATGAAATCATGTGCTGACTCCACCAACAACAGTATAGTAACTTAATCAATGAATAGGAACAAGACATATATCAGAATGTCTTCATTCAGGAGAAGTTGAGCCGAAAGCCGGACAGATGCAACGATTAGCTAGACGTAATGCCAAAAACTGACTTCGGAAGCCATCCCCTCTTCATAATTCCATAGTTAAGAAATGTTAATGAAAGAATGGAACAGTTCGTAACTAAATATGGAATAAAGACGGTATAAATTCTTAAATAAACCAGGCAGCCACTTGTACATGAAAGGTATTTGTCCAAAACAGGCGAGAACTGGTATGCAGGAACAGCTGGAGCGCATCAGCAGCAGAAGAATGCTATTGCAGAATACAGCATATTTAAACATGCAGTGACGTTCGAGCAGAGTAGGGGAAAGAAACTACTTCGAAGGCGGTGAAGTTGAGCGAACACTGCGGAATCATCAGGCAGGAGTAGAACCAACGCAATCGCCTTAGAGCTATCTTTATCACATCATAATATATTCTGACGAACATTTTCACCTCAGTACTTCTGAAGTTGCCGTTTCGTATATTTTTCATTTCGTGTTCTTGTCTACTTTGTCCGTACCTGCAGCTTAAATACGACTTCAGTGCGTATATGCCTCCGTCATGATTCCGGAATGAGTCAAAGACTTTTTCAAATGGCAGGCTATAGCTCACTGTACAAAGTTTGGCCATCCTACAGGAAGCTGGGATCCAGGGATACATAATCGTTGGGGATTTTGCT